ATAAGAGCTAGGACAGTTCTTTACCAATGAAATGGCCCAATCCTGTAAATCCTTACAAGTCCCATTGACTTCAGGGTTTTCATATTGTGGCCCGGAACATGCACAGAGTGCAGTCACACAGCAACAACTCACCTAAACACCCACAAACAGAAAATAATCACAGTTGGTTTAAATTTTCAAAAACAGCAAATGATCATGGTTGCCCAACTTGAGACTCAAGTCAAGGTGCCTAACTGGCCCTTTTAAGGCCACCCAAAACTTAAAGCACTCAAAATCAATAGTTACTTCTGAAGACTTAAGACAACTCTGTTTATCTAAATCATTAGGCACATGCATATAGGATCACAAGTTAGATTATTCAAATAATTGTGCCCCATTTGATAGGTTGTTTAAATTTTGTTTCTTTTTAATAAAAGGATTAGTTTTCTAAAATTATTGTAAAGAATAATTACTGCCGAGATACATGCAAGAATGAGGAAATTACATCTGTTCAACATATATAGGCATTATTACTCTACTCAGTGGAGCAGAACGTTACACACAGTATTGTGTGGGGAGCCAAGTTACAGTTGCTATGACAGCTTTCATTTTGAAACTCCTAAATTGTGTACACCAAAAAATTTCAGCAACAATGTTCCATTAACAAGGGGGTGTGTTTCAGAGGAACAGCCGTGTTAGTCTGTATTCGCAAAAAGAAAAGGAGTACTTGTGGCACCTTAGAGACTAACCAATTTATTTGAGCATGAGCTTTCGTGAGCTACAGCTCACTTCATCAGATGTATACCGTGGAAACTGCAGCAGACTTTATATACACACAGAGAATATGAAACAATACCTCCTCCCACCCCACTGTCCTGCTGGTAATAGCTTATCTAAAGTGATCAACAGGTGGGCCATTTCCAGCACAAATCCAGGTTTTCTCACCCTCCACCCCCCCACACAAATTCACTCTCCTGCTGGTGCTAGCCCATCCAAAGTGACAACTCTTTACATAATCAAGTCGGGCTATTTCCTGCATAGATCCAGGTTTTCTCACATCCCCCCCACCCCCATACACACACAAACTCACTCTCCTGCTGGTAATAGCTCATCTAAACTGACCACTCTCCAAGTTTAAATCCAAGTTAAACCAGAACATCTGGGGAGGGGGGGTAGGAAAAAACAAGAGGAAACAGGCTACCTTGCATAATGACTTAGCCACCACTTAGGGGGGGTGTGTGCGCGCACATTAACTATCCTTTGTTCAGAGTTTTAAAATTTAACATAAAAAGATTTCAGATTATTCACACTGATGTTTAGCATTCAGATCACAGCAGAGAACAAAATTTCAAAGTTCTGTCAGTGTTTTAAAGAGATTCAATAGCAAAGTAGTAGATGCATACTGATCTAAATTAATTTTTTTCACTTTTTGTACTACAACTCACACACGAACAGAAAACCCATCACACATAATGGGGAGCAAGAAACCGAGACTTAGTACTGAACACATTACAAGCATGGACAGTAAATAGATGATAAACACTTAACAGGTTAAACCAAAATCATCAATAATTACGAGTACAGACAATTTTAAGTACTTGATATTTCCTCAACAAAAAATTCATAGAGCTATCACTGTCTTGAATAAGCAGTAGTCAAAACCCAGTGATTTTATCAAATAAACCAGACACGTTGAACTCTGGGGTACAGATGTGGGGACCCGCATGAAAGACCCCCTAAGCTTATTTCTACCAGCTTAGGTTAAAACTTTCCCAAGACACAAAATTCCCTGTATCTGGGATTCAGTATGCTGCCACCACCAAGAGATTTAACAAAGAATCAGGGAAGAGACCACTTGGAGATGTCTTCCCCCAAAATATCCCCCCCCAAGCCTTAACCCCCTTTCCTGGGGAGGCTTGAGAATAAACAAGATGAGCACAGACCAGCCTTGAGTTTTTAGGACACTAAAACCCCAGTCAGATTCTCAAAAAACAGAACTTTATTAGAAGAACAAAAAAAAATAAAAGAAACACTGTAAGATTAGAATGGAAGATAATCTCACAGGCAGTCAGATTCAAAACATAGAGAATCCCTCTAGGCAAAACCTTAAAAAAAAAAAGACACAAAAACAGGGATACACATTCCCTCCAGCACCACGAATTTCAGAAGCCAAAAAAAAAAAAAAATCTAACGTATTTTCTAGCTAGATTACTTACTAACTCTATAGGAGTTGGATTGCTTGCTTTCTTGATCTGTCCCTGGCAGAGGCATCACACAGACAGACAAAACCTTCCCCCCAGCCCAGATTTGAAAGTATCTTGTCCCCGTACTGGTCATTTTGGTCAGGTGCCAGCCAGGTTACTTGAGCTTCTTAACCCTTTACAGGTAAGAAGATTTTGCCTCTGGCTAGGAGGGAATTTTCTAGCACTGTATACAGAAAGGTGGTTACCCTTCCCTTTATATTTATGACACATGTATTTAGTAAACAGATTTGAACTACATATATGGGTTTGGCCCAGTAGGGTGTATGTATATTTAAATATGAATGTAATTAGCTACAGAGAACATTCTATGCCAGTGCTTTAAAATCTTCACTGCCTCCTTAGTCACTTTCAGGTGCAACTCAGGGAAATCTACAAAGTACTGTAGCTTGGATCCAAACTGAGAAAACACCAGTTGCCGCACATCCTGTTAGGAGAATTGATGTTAGCTGTTCTCTCGTGAGTCCTACATTCCAATGACTGTGGGCAAAATCCTGACTCTTCAGAAGTCAATGGCAAAACTCCTGGACCTATTGAAATCAATAGAATTTCAACCAGGAGTTTTCAGTGGTATACCTTGGCTCTTGGTTTTCCTCAATGGTACTGAAGAGCCCATCTTTTTATTGGGGGGTTTGCACGACGATATATTACTACTTCTAGTTAAAACACAAACCCACAGGGAGCTAATGTCAATAATCTAATTTTATTTTTTTCTTAATTCATACAAGTGCACTAATAATAATAATGTGAAAGGGTAAACTTAAAAGTAAGTATTAATCAAGAGATTGGTCTGGACCTATTTCAATCTTTAGAATAAAAATTTTAGAGTCTTTCACACAAGTTAAGCTATTTATAACTTAACAATAAAAGTAAGAAACTACTAATACAGTAATTGGTCTACCAGATCTTAAAGAACCAACGCGAACAAGTATCAGTAATCTGATAGTGGAAATTGACAAGAGTAAGAAATATAAATTACTATAAAATATGTGACCCTATGGTACATTTTCCTTCCTATGGGCGCTTCTCCAGGGGAAGGGGGAAAAAAAAAAGCTATGCAAATCCAGTGTTTTGGGGGAGGGCTGTTTTGGTTTGTTTGTTTGTTTGTTTTTGGTTTGCTTCTATTTCCTCCTTTCCTTACAAAACATATACAGTGCGGATCAAATACATTTTCCCCTTTTGAACTGATTTTCATGGAAGCTAAAAGATAAAAAAATAAACCTCACATGCTATAAAAACAAATATCACTGTTTCACACCCATTTAAACAACCAAATGCTGTCTAGCTTCCATAAACCAAGAGACAAAAACAGTCAGGAAAAAAAAAAATGACCTATTTTTAGGCGACTAGAATGAACACACACACATGAAAGAAAACCCGAACACCAAAAGGCTTAGTAGTAACTAAGCGAAGTAAAAGTGACAGTTGAAGCAGGAATTCACTCTCTCTTCTGTGCCTCACAGCCAGGTACAAAGCATCTATTTCTTTCCTCAGATTGAAATCATGGAAGGGACAATATATACATTTTAAAGGAGAAAAAGCCCAAACTGCTGCTAATTTTGAACCTCGCTCAGGTCCAGAGGGTTATGGTTAAGAACAAAGATCAAACCTAAGTATATTCACACACAACAGACACACCACACTTAAGATGATGGATTAAACTAGTACACATCAGAAAGCCGATACCATAACAGACATATTACACACAAACTTTTGTATAAAGCAAAGCCATATCAATCAACTACTAAATAAAACAAAAACAGTGCATTACAGACCAGAGAAAAAAAGTATTTAGCCCAATTCATCCAAGTGCAGACATATGTCTACAACAGTGATAAAAAAACAGATTAGTATGTGACTATTTAATATAGGATCTATGTGTGGGTGTACATAATGAATAACAAAACAGGTTATTTTTTGCAGCTGCTTCCCCATTTAAGACTTTAATAATACTGCATGGGCAAGTGAGCTGGTGTAGCTCAGTGGTTTGAGCATTGGCCTGCTAAACCCAGGGTTGTGAGCTCAATCCTTGAGGGGGTCATTTGGGATCTGGGGCAAAAATTGGGGATCGATCCTGCTTTGAGCAGGGGGTTGGACTAGATGACCTCCTGAGGTCCCTTCTAACCCTGATATTCTATGACTCTATGACTCTGCTCTGAGCCAGAGAATGGGTATTTAGCCTGGGAAAAAAGTATGTCCATGAACATAACGGAAGGGGGATGCACTACCATGAATTCAAGAAAAGCGGTGTGAAATTGGGATAGTATATTGGAAATGTCACACACGTAGATGGGGCACAACACAGACACCCAGGAAAAAAGAAAGACACACTGCGTATGTGTGTATTCATATACCGTGATACAGAAATACGCCCGGGATACAACGCAGACACACACACAGGAACAAACCCAGGATAACACACACACACAGGCGGGTTTCAGAGTAGCGGCCGTGTTAGTCTCTACCCGACAAAAAGAACAGGAGGACTTGTGGCACCTGGGAGACTAACCCATTTATTTGAGCGTAAGCTTTCGTGAGCTACAGCTCACTTCAGACAGAGAATGTGTGTACGCGCACACACACCACCCAGGATAACACGCAATGGGTGCATGTAGATGTACACACACACCCGGGATACAAAATGCACGCTCGGGAATGGACGAGGCAGGAGCTCCCTAGCCCCGCACGGGGTACAGGGCGGCCCCTCTCGGTCGGTCGGTCGGTCTGTGGTCAGCCCCAGGCCCAGCCCCCGCCCCTGACCTGCCGGCGCCGCTCTCTGCTGCTGCTGCTGCTCCTCCTCCTCGGCCATGGCGAACGCCCCCGGCCGCAGCGGCACAGAGCGGGCGAGGCGAGCGGTTGGCGCAAGCCCCGCCGTGGACCCGTCCGAGCCCCGGCTCTCAGCACCGCCCCCTCCGCCGCGCGCCTCTCGCGAGATCCCCGTCAGAGCGGGCGGGGGAAGTTGCCGGTGCCGGCTCCTGGGCCTCGCGGCGGGGCGCGAGGTTTCCTGGCGGGAGCCCGCAGCGCAGCCCGGCCGCTAGGGAGCCCCCCGCACGTGGCTCAGCCACAGGGCTGCAGACAGCACGTTATCCTCGTGCCCCTTCTGCCTGCAGCCCCTTCCTCGCCCTCTGCCAGCGGCTGCCCGGCGTGGGGGTCGCAGCCTGTTGCTGCCAGGTCCAAGTAACGTCCAGTACCACAAACCCTGAGACAGGGCCTCCGGGCGCGTGGTTGCCCCGTGCTGCACTTGGGGGCCATGATGACAAGACCAGCCCCATGCCTACAAAAATCTTGAGTGAGGCCTCCCACACTCCCTGCCAAATCATGACCTTTTAATTCGTGGGGGTCTTTTTATTTACCTTCTGTTTTTTTAAGGGTATGAGTGGTTTGCTCCAGTCTCATGTTCAAGCCTTCCTCCATAAATATGAGGCCCAGAAACTTACAAAAAGAAAAGGGTGAGATTCTCACATATTCACATGACTCCTGGAGCTGGGGCTTTAACACACACCAAATATTGTGAGACTTGCAATACAAATCGTGAGCATTGAGAAAATTGACACAAATGATTTGGATCCATCAAGTTTGGGAACTTGAATTTGGCCAGAAAAGACAGATTTCAGAAGTGGCAGAAGCAGAAAATATCTGGGTCTAGTTCAAACGCATGCTGTTGGGCAGGGCATGGTGACTAGGAGTCAAGTCTGTTGTTTGCTTTGTGACCCTGGGTAAGTCACTATCGTTACTCTGCCTCAGTTTTCCTAGTTGTAAAATGGTGATAATGATACTGTGTAAAGTGCTTCAAGATCTAAGGATGAAATGGACCTGGATCCTGTGAAGTACTGAACATCCTTAATGCTCACTAAAATCACTGGGAATTGGGGAAATTCCACAACTTATCCGAATAGACTCTCACTCAAGCTTCCTTGGCTATGCAACTTCTTGCACTGAGGTTGTTTGCACTTCTACCTATTATTCACACCAGAGGCAATTTACAGGTGTCAGCTCAGCTGGTGTCACCCAGCACGCCTTTCTCAGAAATATGGCTGGAGTCCAAAGATTCATGTTCAAATCACAATACCACACTCTCTCCTTGTATGGAGTTTTGCACTAAATACTCAACACTGTTCATTTTTGTGGTTTCACATGAACAGTCTAGAAAAAGACTATGACAACTTTCTTAGTGAAAATCACATGTTAAAGATGTGTAATTGTTTCCTCCTCTTCATTTCTGTTTGAATTCATGCTGGTCAGCCTTCCAATCACTTTAGCTGTGGGGAGTCTGAGACCTTTTGTTCCACTCACAGGAGAGAGGCAGAGAGAGTGAGTCTTTTTGCTGCATTAGATGGAAGAGTAGCTGTAACCGCTCCCTAGGTCACGTGTACCTGGAGCTTTCATTGCATAAAACCCTCATAGACTCTGTATTCTGTCAGGAAGTGAGAGCAGGGTTCCCTGGAAAACGGTTGTGTGAAAACTTCTGGTGCTAGACCCTCCTTACAACTTAAGCCCTACTTTAACGCCCGATCCTCCAAACGCTCATATGCATAACTGTATATAGAATTGGACCCTAAGCAGTCAAACCAAGATGTAAGTGGTGAAGATGGCCTTATATGGGCCTCAGTCCTAGGATGAATTGTGCACATTATGTCAATGTCTGCTGTGTGGATTCATAAAGTATTTTACCATATCCAGTAACAAACACATTTCACATGTGAAAACTCTAGCCAGTACCATTCAAAATTTTTAAAAGTAACCTTATTTCTCTTATTCATTGTAAAGACTTATCAGACTTTTACAAATGGGTTTTGCTTCATGCAGAATACCAGCATCAGGTGTTGTTCCAACAGTTAGATTCACATTAACATTATGAAGTTTTGCACAGGAATATTGTCTTTCCCCAACTTCAGCCTTATGTGAAAGAATTAATGAGTACAGGGCAACTAATATAATAATTACACTTTCATGAAACTATCATACACCACCAATTCATTGTGTGTTAAATCTGAAACAAAAATATAAGTAATTGTCAATCAATTTATAGTGTTATTAGCTAGGTCTTTGCCCTTTAAAAATAAAAGTGACAATAATTAATTCCATCAGGCAATTTAAAATCTGCTCTTTTGGACAGATCCTCTCAATTATTATTTTTCATTTGTATTTCAGTAGCACATAGATGCACCAGCTGAAATTGGGACCCATTGTTAGTCTCTAAGGTGCCACAAGTACTCCTTTTCTTTTTACATACACATAGTAATTGGAGAAACCATAGAAACATAGGAGTGGAAGGAACCTCAAGAGGCCATCTAATAGATTCCCCCTGTGCTGAGGCAGTTCTTACTCTAAAAAGTTTACAAGCTAAGTGAACAAGACTAACAAAACATAGGAGAAAAAGCATGGGAGGGGGCTGAGGCACAGAGAGATTAAGTGATTTGTCAAAGGTCATACAAGAAGTCTGGCAAAACCAGGAATTAAACCCAGATAACGCCAGTCTCAGTCCACTGTCTTAATTATATCACTGTACTTCAGCTACTTGCAGGTATGTATATGGAGCTTTTGGAACTGAAATAACTGTGTGATTAGTGCACCTTCAAGGTCTGGAATATTCCAAGCTGGCAGAGTTTCAGAGAGTGGGCAATCAGTTGTACCTGGAGCAGGCTGGAAACAAGATCCAAAATTAAGTGGGGCTGGATGTTGTTTATAAATAAGGACCCATTGCTACAATTATTATTTAATTTTTCTTGCTGTTGTCCAGATATAAAGCCACGGTATTTAAACAGAGCATGATTGGTTTGTTAGGATCTGGAGACATAAAGGAAAAACAACATTACATTTAAAATACAGGAGGAAATATTCCACTGCCTAGAATCACAAAGTGAAAAGGGAAATGTGAAAAACAGAAAAGGTGTATTTACTTCCAACTAAAGCAGTATACATTACTTATATAAGTACTCTCTCAATTAACTTTTAACCCTGAAGAAGCTGAGGGCACACACTCAGGTGTGCATGCATGCTAGTAGTTTGTCTGGTACACTGGAAAATGAAAGCATGACAAGGGTTTAAACAAAAGCAGTACTTAAACTTGCTATTGAAGGAATAAATGAGCAAAGAGATTTCTCAGAAAAGGCCATTTGCTTCAAAGGATAGTCTTAAGCAATAGATGACTGGTGGGGTTATGGCTGTCTCTGTCATTTTATAAGCACCTCACAGCTGGTGGCTGTTCTGGTGATTAAGTCTTTCCTTTCTATTTGTGCAGTCACAATCAAGAGACTACACCTGGCTCTCTTAAAAGGCAACTTTCTAAATTAAAGAAAATTACACAACCCTACAAAGGGCTCTCATTGTAGCTTTGCAGCTGATGCTGGAAGGCAGTGTCACATGTAGGAGAGAGAAAACAGCAATGTCTGTATTTGCTATGTAACTAAGGGTGGCCTTTTGGTACGCTGGGAAGCCCGCACTCTGAAACAGAATTCTTGCCCTCTCTCCCTGCTTCCATATCATCCTTTTTAACAACCCCTTTTAAGAAAACAGTTTTGAAAGTTTGGTGTGAAATGCCACTTCCTAAGTTTTACTTTAGAATCTTGGGCTGCCAGACTATTGCTTGTTTGTTCATCTTCACTGCTACAATAATTTGCTCTTTCATCGTATCTTTCATCGCTGGCTATCAAAATATTTTGCCAGCATTAATGAAATAATCGTGTAAGTAAGTATTAATTAAGCCATCTATAAAATGAATACAATTAGGTGGAGAATGAATGATTTCCCTGGATCTGTGTGCAAAGCTCACCCCACCCCTCCAGATCAGTGACACCAGAATAAGGTGTGCACTGAGAGTGGAGAATCCAGTGGCGATCACGTTCTGGAAGTTTGCAATGCCAGAGTTCTGTCAGTCAGTTTGGAGTTGGAAAATCCACAGTGGGAGCCATTGTCTTCCAAGTGTGCAAGGGCATTAAGCATATCCTGCTGCACAGAACTGTGACACTCAGTAATCTGTAGGGAATAATGGGTGGATCTGCAGCAATGGACTTTCTGAACTGCAGTGGGACAATAGATGGCATATTCCTATTCTGTCCCGTGCTTCAGGGGGATGTGGGGTCCAGGGTGGCCTGGAGCCGGGTTGCTTTCTGCTGCCGGTGCCAGGCCCCCTGCTAGCCCCCCAGGCCACCCTGGACCCCACATCTTCCTGAAGCACGGGGTCTCTGCTTGGACCCATTCTGGGCACCACCAAAAATTATACAAACCTGGCACCCATACGTGTCTGCAAGGTTAGGGGCCCCTCTTGGACAGAAGGTCCTGTCCAAGGCCCCGAGTCAGTTTAAATCCAGACTTTTTATAGCAAAAGCCCTTTCTCTCTTGGTCTCTGGAAAACCCAGTTTGAATCAGAACATACAAACAGTACATACAGGATTAGTATCTAAGTGATTCACCTTAATCACTGCCCATTGTTTTTGGTTCCTGGAGGAGTTGAGGTACCTTCCCCGCACAGAGTTGCATGCAACGTCTGGCCCACGTGTTACATAAACCAGTTATAAATTTAATAGAGTCTGTTCTCGTAAGTTATTGCATGGATTGCAATATCCGTCACAGGTGTAGGTGTACCTATGGTTCTCCTAGTTTTGCCCTGGCATGGAGTGATAGGGGTAAGGATTCATACCATTCTGCCACTTATGTTAGGGGATATAGGGAGCAGCAGCCATGGAGTTTTCCATGGATCAGAAAGGCTGCTGTGAGTGGGATTTCCTCAGCATATAGCTTGATAATGCTCTAACATCTGCGTACGTTGCCTGAGCAAGCCCATGATATCCTGATGCACTTCCCAATGCACCTCTTGGTCTCTTTGCCTCTCCTGCTGCAACCACTCTCTCCATTGTTGGCCCTTCCTCATGTGACCTCTCCAACACCTGTGTTCATGGTCAGCAGC